CTGTCAGTGTTGTTGAGATGAGAGAATATAAAGTAGCCTACCAGGCGTAACTACCCATCAATAAGACCTGCGTAATATTTTGTCTCATTTGCGGAACCAATGCCAAAAGCATGTGGAACAGCAGCAACAGGGGTTCATGGAAAATGAGGTGTTATGTAGCCAAACACCAATGCCAATCAATGCCAATTTTAGAAAATATTGTGAACGTTTAAGATAAATCGACAATATCTTGGGAGTTGCATTTTAGAATGTTGTCAATCTATTATAATCATTTGTGCCCGATATTAAACAATGCTCATTTGGTGTGCACACAGGATCCATACAGTGAGTGATTTACAGTATCCCAGCGTGACAGCGCTGTTTCTAATCCTCTCAAAAATGGCAACAAAGCGAGCTGAGTGGGCCCGCACAGCAATAGAGATTTTACATAAGTGACGTCACAGTTGCTACCTCTAGTACTAATATAACCCCTTTGAAAGGAATCATACAGAGTGTAACAGTACGTAAAAGATGAAACCTAATAAAAGTGGACTAAACCATGGCAGACATCATTTTTGATTCCTATCAGTAGACTGTAGATTAGATGCCACCTTATCCAAAAAAAATTATTTGTTTAAATAAAAAAACAAAAACAAACAAACCTACAGCACCAGCACTCATATTTGAGCTACAAAGCCAAAATCCTTAAACAAACACATAAATTTGAAGGCAGAAAGAACTTAATAGAAGAGTCATCAAACTGCTTCTCAATCTTTTGTGTAGATCAAAATCAAATCGTGTGCACAACTTGTCGCTGACCCAAGATGAATACACCTCGACAGAAACACTATACTACACACACAGGGCAAAACGTAAAGCACATGTTTAACAAAGAGGCACAAAATCCCTTTTTCATATTACAAGTACAATTATTCCAACTCAGCATGATCTTTTTCAAGATAAGATCAAACAGTTTCATTGGCCCAAATAAAGAATACTAGGAGGGAAAAAAACCTTTACCTTTCCAATACAAATCTTCTTAGTTTCACAGGAGAAAAAGATCTTTTTACAAACCAATCCTTTACTTTACACTTTACAGACTCTTCTAATGTAACGATTGCCACAAGAAAGGCAAATTTTTTGTCGTATAATTTAAAAAGTGGAGAGTATTCACAGTATGGGCTTGTCCCATATCAGTTGGGTGTATATTGTGTTTATATAGTCCAGAAATGCGTAACAACAAAACAGTACTGGTAGAACAAGATGAATTATAATAGTTTCATATATATATTATTTATAGATCTATATATATTGCACTGTTACATTATTTACTACTCATTATCATTCATTGCGTTGACAAGTACAGATCCCACACTGTAACTGCAGCAGCACGCAAGAAAAATAATAAAGGGCAGAGGCCACATGATCTCCTGCTGACTACTTTATGATATTGTACAATCTGTCATGAGGAATTCCCTGCTTTGTTTAGGTTTGGCACAGAATTTCTCCTGTTTAAACATCCTCATAAAATATCCCAGGAACAAGTTTTAAAAAACACTTTTTTTTTACATTAACTTCTCCAATGACTGTTCGAGAAGACAAGTATTTGTTGAATGTATTAATTAACAGAGAATCACGGACCCATTACAAAGCTACTGAACTAAACAGCCCTCCATCATTGAATTGTAGAATTGAAAATACCCATGTATTATGTATCTTGAATATAAATGGAGATATTTGCAATTGAAGAATTGTATCGAGTCAGAGGTAAAATTACCGCACAAAATGGTAACCAAAATTTGGTCACTTCCAAAGCTTGGGAATCCTTGGAAAGTTCAAATTTACATTTTTGGGTGCCTTTAATCAATGGTTTTCAGTAAAATTCAGACAGAAATGTGCTTAAAATGGACATTAAAGGTACTGAGCCCCCCCCCCCCCCGCCCCCCAAAAAAAACAAACAACAACTGCCAAACGAGAGAAAACATGCCGGTTTCTCAGATTTCATTATTTTTACGAATGCCTGCTTCCACCATGGTGCCTCACATTGTTACAAAGTCATTACGAATATTGCACATCAACTCTGATCACACATAGAGTTTCAGCAGCTAACAAGGAAGGGCAGAATGCTATGGTCACCATGCTCCTTTCTTTGTGTACATGATTCGTTTGTCTTGATATGTGCGGAGCTCACAACTAACACAACTGTCACCTAGTGCTGGGAAAAAGCCAGAAGACACCGCAATAAACAGAGAGTTACTGTTTAGTTTAGTGTTAGGAAGAGTTTTACAGCCTTGCAACACAATTTGGTCATACACATGACGAAGATTAGAGGTGTTACTAGAAAGTAACACACAAGAAAAAGAAGAGAGGTCAATATACTTAGATATTTTATAGGTAGGTAAGAAAAAATAAACCCCACCACAGGGCTCCTCATACCACTCACAGTTGCTGTTTAGTTATGTCGACAGTGAGCAAGCATGATAATGGCCACATATCACAAAAACAATCGTTTCATTGATGGAGAAATAGAAGTAGAAGGCCAGACTACAGCGCCAGCCAATTACAATAACAGAAAGAAATAGACATAAAAAGAAGAAACTTGAAGAACCACGAGCATAAAATAATCCAGAACCGTAAGACTTGAAAACTATTGAATTTAAAGAAGGCTAGCAGTACAGGTCTAGAGCAGCAAAGGCTACATGTGCAATTCACCTTTGCGGTCTGTACTGGGGGATTTTAAAAAAATCAATGTGGGTGTTTTTACACCCCCAACACATTTAGATTAGGCCATTCAACCATGCCCGATTGAGCCAACCCAGACTGAGAGGGAAACATCATACCAGCAGAAAGATTGAGACACTGGATAAAAATTGTCCTATTGGGGAATTGAACTAGGATCTTCTGCATGCGACAGCGAAGCGCTTAACAACTACATCACTTGTTGCCTGTGGCACAAGAGGCACATCATGATGTTAAAGAGGGACAATGATATGTCTGACGACACAGTGGAATCAGGCTCTCGTTCATTTTTGGGCACGTAGAGTTATTGTTGTCATCTTAAAACTTGTTTATTTCCTCAGCTTGAGAGTCCGCGGAAACTGAAAATTTACATTTTTTGTGCCTTTAATCAACATTTTTCAGCAAAATTCCACACAGAAATGTCCACTTAAATGGGCATGGAAGGTGTTGAGCCAAAAAACAAAAATTCAATAAAAATTCACAAATCTATGGAAAAATGCCGGTTTCTTCACTTTGATTATTTTGACAAGCGCCTAATTTCACGACGCAGCTTCACATATATTGCAAACTCTGATAATGGCCATTTAGTCCAGGGGAAAAGTAAAACAAACTTATTGACAAAAACATCAGAGGGAAAGAAAAGAAGTAGAACTCTTTGTGAGAAAATGAACAAATCATACACTGGAAAGCATCAAGAATAGAGTACACAGTACAAATCCAAATACTGTATACATATTCATATAGACATTCGAAAGTCTACAAATGTACAATCTTTCACCTGAGGGCTCAATATTTAATTGTTTCAAGGTATTTGGCAGGGCTGCTCTTTGATCAACCTCGCTGAACCATAAACACATTCCCTTTTGTTAGATATCCAAACACATATAAGACCTTGGATAAGGAGTTCTAGACCAGCTTTAAAAAATCTTCTTGTATTAGTAGAGGTTTTACGGCGCTCGCAACTGTATAAGAAAAAAATCTTCAACCTTCAAAACAATTATATTGTGTCGGAAGACACAAGCCCAGCCCCCTCTGAATTAGACAAAAAAACAAACTGACATGAGTGGAGAACTTTACTGCAGAGCTGAACTCATTCTCAATACATACTTTCAAATTGAAGGAGGAAAGCTATAATAAAAAAACCTCTAACCAACTCAATCACAATCTCCTACACCTGACATAACCTCATTCAAAATGAATTGGGGACGTGCTAAAGAGAAGTACAAAATAAAAATCATGGATGGAGTGTTGTTCAATATCAAAGCGAAAAGCAAAAACCAATGAAAGTAGGACATACCAGCAGTGCCCTCCTACTCCAACCACCGACCAACTATTGTACAATTAAGGAATGTTTGCGGATACATCTACACTGCTGTTATCAAGGGCACTGCAACTGCACTTTTTAAAAAAGATTCGAAGTTAAATCAAGTGATTCAAATATCAGATGCAATACATCATGAAAGAAAGGGGACTGTAAGCCTTAGACACAGCACTACTACAATCATTTCATCAACTGTAGATCAAATCAGCACCAGGTACAATAAACATCTTTGTTCAGTTGTTTTCAAAGACAGAAAAAGTGGCACAGGACGGGCTTTACATATTTATATAATATATTTAGAGTCACGATCTTCATGCTGACCACACAAGAGACCCACTGTCCCGTTTCGTACAGAATAAATTCTACCGAAAACACAGATTCACACCCTAAAAGTATTTTATAAAGAAAGAAAAAGATTTACATGTGTATACGACAAACAATAAGAACAAATTCAGCATACTGAAGACCAGCTGTTTTTGAGCAATAAGATCTGGTAAAGAGCAGTCCGCAGCCAAGCATTTTACGTTCTTGATGTTCAGGCTCTTTTACACATTTACATTTGACCCATAAACCACACACTGGTCTATGAACACCATTACAAGACTTTATTAATGCTTACTACCCAATGAACCCCCCCCCCCCCCCCCCTCCAAAAAAAAAATTAAAAAAAAAAAAAATATATATATAAATAATAATAATAGCCTCTCAATCACATACACACCATACATAAAAAAGTACGCCTAGCAATGAAAAGGAAATTGACATGACCACACAACATATACTGCACCACAATCTGCATAATCAATAGAACGATTTAAACAGTTCTGAGCCATATTTTCTTTTTTAAATGCTCAAGGCTGAAGAGAACACAGAATTGCAACAACTTAAAAAAATGCATGTTCTACACTGTAGAAAATACCACCTTTTAAAATCATCCAAAACATAAACGGATGATTCTCCCTTTTTTTGCAACCCCCCTCCCCCACATATCAGGACAATTTGATTCTGCAAGCAATACAGTTTCTTATTTACTTGAAAACTATATACATAGTAATTCTTTTTCTTTTTTCAGTAAACAATCAGCTGCTTTGAAGGTGCACTTCATCAGTCATACTGACCAATGACCAATATTTCTTCACTTATGAACTGAGATTGCTTTTAGAATGTTGCCTTGGCAGCAGGCTTGAACATAGTTGCTCTCTTTCAAATTTCAGTCTGTATCTTGAACATACACTCTAAAAGGACCCTCTGATACTGTGCTTTTTCTTCCCATTCTAAATGTTTGACTTTTGAAACATGAAGTTGAAAAAAAAGTATCCTCCCCATGCCAGACTATACTTGGAAATCAACCAAGTAGTTTGATCAGCATAAAAGGCAAGAACCTTTCCTCTAGACTAAAGTGTCCTCGCACTGAAGATTAATTTACTGTAAACCGAACAACTCAACAATGCAGGGCAATCTATCAAAGGCATTTCAGACAGAAAATGACAGATCAGTTATGCTGAATATTTGTTTCATGTTCTTTTACTAATCCCAAAATCTTATAGAAAGAGCCCAACTGACTTCAACTACTACCATCTGAAATACTGAAAACAATGTTGAAAAAACATTTTTAAAAGACTTTGACATACAATTTCTCCTTTCTTATAATACTTGTTGAAGACCTATGACCTCAAAATCACAAAGTCTTTGCAGGTCATGACAATGAGGAAGAGCAAAAGAATTCAAAGCCACTCTGCATCCTCCATTTGATAATGATAATTCATCAAGTGAAAAAAGACAAATAAATGTCCCAGTCTGCGTAATTAAAAAAATAAATCAAACAACTCCACATAAAAAAATGTGGATGCATAACTGACTTTAGAATCACACTGATATGCTATCAAACAAGGCAGTTGATACTGCCAGCAATGTTTTATTATTTATACTGATCTACAGTCCAGTACTTCATAATACCTCCAGACAACCAGTCATGTCACTTTGTACTTAGGTACAATACAACAGCAACAAACCCACCTTTATAACAATACATCATGATCTAAAAAGGTAAATGTCCATGAACATCCTTACCCCTCTTTACAATACAGCAAGCCAAACTAAGAGAACACTTTATAAGAATTCTAACATCCACAGTAAATTCAAGCATGCACAATCAAAAAAAGATAAATGGCTGTTTGGAGAATGATTCCAGCTTAAGTCTCACAGTTCTAGAAGAAAGGGATAATTGTTCAGCTCAGTCTGTCATGACATTCTGATTCTGCCGATCATTCTCAAACTCTACAAAATCATCTAATAGACTCGGCCAAGCCTCTGTGTCGTCATAGCTGCTGAGATCTTCTCCAACTTGTTCAGTAAAGTTCAAAAACATATCCCACGTGTCTTTGGGGATTCCACGGATACTGGTATGTTTTTCTAGGAATTCTAGCCAATGCTGAAGCACAGGGGGCTCATTCTGCGAGAAGACCAGCTTCCACAAACTTATCGCCATCTCAGTAGGTAACGTCCTCTGGCCTGAGGCATTGTCTAACCCAAATCTGTAAGTCCATCGATAGAGATCTTTAAATGCTTGCCTGTCTTTCACCTCAGCTAGAAGGTCTGGAAATTTACTCTGTATCCCTTTCACAGAATCAACTTTCATAGCTTTGCAACCTTGAAGAAACTCAGATCTGGTAAATTCACACATGGTTTCTGCTTGAAACTTCCATGCTAACACAAGCACAACAAATTCCTCCGGCTTGACCTCAAGGTCCATACAGAATTTCTCTATGCCATCAGCAAGAATACAATCCTCGTCTGCATCCTTATACATTTCAAACATCACGAGAATTTTCGCCTCTGACACTTCACGAGAAATTAAGGACAAACGCTTAGCCTCCGCACTGCCCCCTTGCTTCTTGATTGGCGGAAGCTTTGGGTAGGGTGTGAACATCTTCCACTCCGAGCCCGGGGTGCTCACAGGCGGGTTCGGCTCTCCACAACCCGTGTCCTTACTGTCCGACACGGGGATCCCCGCAATATACAGAGTGCGGCTCGGGTTGGCCTGTCCCGAGTCGGGCAGACTGCCACCGGGGCTGTGGGGAGCCTGCTTGTCACAGCACGGGGACAGGCACTGCCCCATTGACGCCAACGCCACGCACTTCCTCACTGCTGCATCTTGCCAACCTGCAGGAAAACAAAATACTGTTCAGTGCTGTAACTGTAAGTGACCCTGCTTCAAGTCCACGCTGAGAGCAATAAGATGTCTTAGCAAAGAGATGGAAATAAATTTGAATCTGTATGCAATAGCACAGTGTCTAACCATTATATGTACAGCATACCGGTACTCAGTGCTAAACATATTGACAAACTTTACACAATACATTCAAACCACACACAGCAGATAAAAACCCGCTGTTCTTGCAATGTTGTTTGTAAAATGAAAAAGAAATATTCCAGCAAACAAACTTACAAAGAGTTCCACAAAGTAGAGAGAATCAACGGAAAGGATAGAAAAATTGACAATACTTTAATTTTTCGTTGGGCGGACACTAACTAATCTTGGGCTTGGGTTTTTTTAAAGACAGAACTTATGGAAAACTATAAAATACAGAACAGGGAAACATAATTTGCCCCCCTCCCTCCTTCTGGTCCCATAAAACTGTTGTCTACAAAAGTACTACTATACTAACAGCTAAGTTCCATTTTTAGCCCCCAATTAAACCTGTAGAAAAACTATAGATCTTTTAACGAAACACATAAAATGAAATGAAGCAAAGAAGAGACTGACTGGCTGAAAGCAATACACATGTGACCACTAATTACATTATATTATGTGAGTTATGTCGCTATGTCATCATTTTTAGTGTGTAATTTTTAATTTCAGATACGAAGTCTTTAAAAAAAACCTATAATATTAATAATAATATCTTTCGCTGTCTATATTCGGGTACCCATTCCCACGTGGGTGAAGTGGGGAATATTCTTTAAAGTAAATTAAAGTGTCTTTCCCAAGGACACAACGTCAAGGTCCCAGATGGTATTCGAACCCATAACCTTACGGTTCCAAGTTCGAAAGCCTAACCACCAGGCCACGGACACTACAAATACCAGGTTACTTGTAAGTCGTGTGTGTTAAATCAGGGTGACTGCCAAACCAGCTTCTCAATTTTCCAGGGAGGATCCATTTTCCAAGGGCACATTACAAAACAGTGATGGCGAGTTACGAATATCAGTTTATTTGCATGGCGACACAGCGTTAATAATCTGTCCCTGAAGAGAGTTGCATTTAAAATAGCAAACGTTGCAAAAAGTGGCAAGAAAACTTGCAAGATGGGTATACATAGCTAAAAAAAATGTCACAGAATACATTGTGGTATATATATGCCCATTGCAATCAAAGTAACCAACATGAGTTTTGTTAGATCAAAATCAAAAGTATGTGAATAGTGAATGACTGCAAAAAAAACTGGACTGTGCATATATCATATTATATGAAACTAGCTGGGCCCCCTTTCGATGAAAGGAATGATCGGTGCTTTAATATCAACTAAAAGTCATTGGCCTACTATATTAACACTCTAGCCTTCTGGAATGGGGCAATAAATCTTGAGAGATGCAAAAAATTATAAGGTCTAGATCTATACTCTCAAAACAAAATGCCCCTCCGCGAAATATCGCTTCCGGATTTTCTAAAATTACAGAGACAGAAGCGTTGGCCTACAACAGCAATTGGCGAAATAAAGTACTTTAGCTTTTTACAGCAAAACTGTCTCAAAACTGAAAAAAACAAGGGCGTCATGTTCTGGAGAATATTTTAAAGAATCTTTTGACGAAAATCGCATGTCGATCGATGCAGCCATTAAAAAGCCTTTTGAATAGCAAAATTCGGGCCACCACAAATAGATAATAGATATAGAAATCTATTGACATAGCTTGTCGTAAATATGCTCGTTAGAAATGTCTCTATGCAGGATACAAAGTAGACTAGGTCTAGCTATACAAAATGAAAAGTTTAATTGAAAAAAATCAATATCCGCAAAGTGGTTGTAATACAGAGTAAAAGGGACTTGATAGTTTCTTAAGACTGAGACCTGCGCCTATATTTAGTAAGGTTTTATGGCGCCCCTAACAAGGTCATTTGAGCGCCAAGGGGTGGATGTAAACAGAGAAAGTCCAAACTAGGAATCAGGCTTACTGAAGTTACTCTGCTCACCCCTCTAGCCTCAACAGCACAAAGTCAGCTTCGACTATCAAGGCATCCCGGAAATAGCAGTTCACAAGAGAGTGACAAAACATGCAAAAGAAGAAGAGGGAAAATGACGATAGTAAGGATGAAGAAAGAAAAAGCAGCAGTTCCCCCTTTGTTGTTCTGGCACAGTATCATGAGCATGACATTGATAAAAATAAGCCTATTTACAATTCTAAGACAAAATAATACAGTACTTTATTATCCCAGAGGGAAATTTTCCTTGGCTGTACAGGACCGTAAAAACACATGCAGGTATACATTAAAAAATTTAAATTAAATATTAAAATTCAATATATGAAAGGAGAAGTAAAGCTGCTGCGACCAATGTACTGACACTGGCAAGCCCCTTAATGTGTGTGATTCCATAATTTACATATAATATCCTGTACTTTTTTTTTTTTAATTACACACATTTAGGGTCAAAACAGCCAATCTTTTTCGGACAGGTGGACACACGCCCTTATTTGTTTGTTTGTTGTTGTTTATGGGCTGTTCTAATTTTGAATTCTTTCTGTTGTGAATTTTTCACGTTTTTACACTCATCTAAAAATCTCTAGACGAGCTCTTGAAAATTGAAATAGATATAGACCCAAAAATTTGCTCCTGTGTGTGTGTGTGTATGTACGTGCGTGTGTGAGTGTGTCTGTGTGTGGTAGTAAGTGGAGAGTGAGGAGTGTGTGTGTGTGTTTGTTTTTCGGGCTTTATTTCAGCCTTTATTCAGTAACAGTTCAAAGTATACAAAAATAGAAACACAGGATCCATTCACTCAAGGGCTCATGAGTCGTTCGTCTCTTTTAGTTTCACTCATTCATTCAATTCCCGTGTTCTCTCCCGTGGCTCATCCCCGTCCGCATGACTTTCATACCCCACCCCCTCCCTCCAGGCACACACAAAGAAAATCTCACTCATTCCCTTGCACCCTGCGAACCATGGACAATAATATAGATCTAGGCAAAACACTGCCTGAGCTGCATTCCTTTCGTTCGGGAGCTATGGACCAGGCCAGGGGGGGTCGGTGTCATCGTCTTGTAGTTGCTGTCGCCTGTGGATACACTCGCACATTCTTCCTTTCACCCGCTCTTTCACTCACACAGTTCAGCTCGTCATACGTTCAAAAGTTGCCCATTGGTCATGTTTAGTTAGTGTGTGTCCATGTGCATGATGGTGGTGGGTGTGTGGTGGGTGTTACTGAAGGTTGTCTGTAGGCGGACTTGCCATGCGGTGTTCCTTCCCAGACCAGAGGCGGAAAAAAATTAAAGTTGGTGCCGAACTCTCGCAATAAATAGGCAAAAAATCACGAGACCGAAAGCCGCAAACTGTTCGGAGAAATTAAGATCGGCACTATTTCTCCGAACGTTCGGAGAAATAGTCACTTCGTAAAAAAAAAAAACGAGGCCAAAAAAAAAAGCTGGCAGGCAGCGGCTTGGTCTGAGCTAAGGCGCAGAAGTGAGTGAGTTAAATTATGTTCTGTACACACCAACCAAGGTCATGATCATTAGCTTAGCCAATTGGCAATTTAGCTGTCTGGTCGTATAGATCTAGCCTGTGACCCTGTGTCAACTGTGACTCAGGTGACTGACTGTCGTAACATTAAAGTGTAATTTATAAGGAGCTGACCCTTAAGTCCAAAAGCTAGAATCTAGAGTCAAGTTAAGTCTAGTTTAAAAATAAAAGTCTAAAATTAAAAAGTGAAGAATTTTGTCAATGATAGGCCTACTACTAAAAAAATGGCCGTCTTTATTCGGACTTGAGTCCGAATAAAATTTTTCATATTCGGACTCAAGTCCGAATTTAAAAAATCATATTCGGACTCAAGTCCGAATATGAAAAAAGGCCACCTCTATTCTCACCCGGAGTGAGAATAGTGCAGGCGAGTCTCGTGGCTATTCTCACCCGGTGCGCGTTCACCAAATTTTGCGTTCACCCTAAACCACAGAATTCTACACTGTGATAACAGAAAAATTGTAGAATTCTGTGCGGTGAACAAACGTTCCATTACAACTGTAGCCTACTAAACTAAAAGCGTACAATTTTGTCTGTGGGCAGTGGAGAAAGAGAGAGAAAGAGAGAGAGGAGTAGCGCGAGAATTTCCGGGCAAAACAAAATGGCGACCCGCGTAGTTCGGCTCGATTCGAAAAGTTAAATAGCCGTAGCATCTTTGTATACAGACAACCAAATTAATTTACTTTTGTGTTTTAACATCATTTTTTAACTTTGTTTTGGTCAATTTGATCGTCCACACCGATAGACAGTATTCAGAAAGAGACAGAGAGAGAGAGAAGAGGGGAGGAGTTGATCTTGCGAGAACTTCCGGGCGGGTGAGAATAGCCACTTTCATGAAAAAATGTTATTCGGACTCGGGTCCGGAAAAAAGGAAGTGTCTTCATTCTATAGATCTAACGTTCAGTGCTTCCAATTTTCCGCCATTTTTTAGTTCCCCCACACCTTATCTGCCGATCCGATGCCCTCCGCCTCATTGATACGCCCTCCCACCCCCCCTGATTCCCACTTTCTTTGTTGTAGAAAAAGGTAAAATTGAAGATTAGCAGACCACCTGGCACCTGCATATTATGAGCTGTGTAAAAAAAAAAGACCGATTCGTTCAAATACACAAGCCTGTGTCATCTCGATTGTTTACCAAGAAAAAGTTGTGTTGCTGTGCAGAGCCGAGCATACACGGCAACTTTTGATTCCATAGACCAGCGCACAATTCATTACGTAGATCTACGTCAAGACTAGCTTGTAATAATGATCAGTTACCGGGGGAAAAAAGACTGACGCGTATGCGCCGTTCAACGCCCGGACCGATAGTGCCCCCCTTCCCCGACACGCACACACAGCCACACGTGTGCGCCCGCCCATCCGACCCCGACACACGCTAACGAGCCATCTTTAATTGCTTCTGATGACCTCTTGACAAATAAACATTTATTAGAAGCGCTATAACTTTTCAGGCCGGCCTCAAATTCATCATAAGATAAAAACTCGGCTCCTGCACAAAATGCCATTTGGCCCGAAGTGATCACGGTCTCTACCCAGCCTGAGGCGAGTCACGAGTGAGGCAGGACAGGAAGCCGGAGTCACGAGTCACAGGAAGTCGGAAGTGATGTCATGCTGGACAAGAATCAGAGTCCGAAAAACATTTTTTCATATTCGGACTCGAGTCCGAATAGTCACTACGTTAAAAAATAGGTTTAGAATAGATCTCTAGATTCTACATAGACATAGAAGTATAGTAGAGTGAACACATGGGATGATGACATGGGGCATCACTGTTATTTCACAGGGCAACCCCCCCCCCCCTTTAGTATTTACCCTACAACATTATAGCCCCTTCAATCTCATTAGCCCACTCATTTAAGACTTTGAAGACCAACTAGAATGCAGTGCAAGACTCAGCAAATCAGCAGCCAAGTCACAAGTGAGGCAAGCATGACTTGAGTCTTTTTCTCTCGTTGCTACTGTGACAAACAAATACAAACCCCTTCAAGTTAGTTCCAGACAAAGATTCAAGACTTGAAGGCATTACTACACGAAGTCAACAGAAGCCATCGTAATCCGATCAACCATAGAATTAGTCAGCATGCAGCTCCAGGGAAAAAAACCTCAACTACTTCGCCGACAAAGTTGAGTAAACACAACAAAGGCGTCAGCTGCTATGCTAAAAGCCAACTTCCTGTTTGTATGTGACGTCAAAAATATGCTGAGCTGGCCAGCTAGTCTTCAGTCTTCATTTAGTTTCGAACAGTAGTTTATCTAGATCTAGATAATATATAGTAGTTAGAACTACATGTACTAGATATCTAGTATAGGAACAAAATGAGAAAGGAGGGTTGTGGATTTGTCTGTTTGTTTGCTTTAGTTTGTGTTCCCTTATTTTTCTATATGAGGGAAGGGGGGAAGGTTGTTAGTTGGTTGTTTTTTTCTGACTGATAATCTTGGTGGTATCCAAGGAGCTTACTTTTAATCTCCTTGGTGGTATCTAATCATCGTTTAAAATGTTGCCGTTTGTGTTGTCGTTTACTCTCAATTTTAGTTCCTTGCTTGTTGGTATTTCGTCATCATTGTATCTATTATTACAATAATGTAACTATTAGCAATGCAATTGTCTGGGGCTTGCCGGTTGCTCTTGACCGCCTTTTCCCGACTGACCCTACGCGATGTAGCTCACGAACAGGCAGTCTTTAATTCTTTCTTTCTGTCCTTTTTTCTTAGTGCGCTCAAGCGTCTGATGAGTTCAGTTTGTGAGGCATGTGAAGGTGGTTACTACTGGGCACAGAATTCTACACTAAGTGTAGAATTCTGTGCTACTGGGGTACGTTGAAAATTACGCTTTTGGCTCCTCCTAATGGTCTAACAATAAACTCCTTGATGTCATGTAATATGGAAATATTTAAATACTCAGGGGAAAATTACAGCGTCACTTTGGTGATTCTAAGAAATCCTAGTCAATCAGGTGGAATGAATTTAATGAACACGTTCTGTCTTTAAAATGTTACAGTAGGTCCATATCTTGACTGTACCATTATAAATCACCCTTTTGTATTAATAACTAAAAGACTCACCCCCCCCCCCTCCTTAAAAAAAGTATCTTCTTGTGCTGTAGAGAATTTTTCTTTTTTACTGTCTGATGATACGATGGTGGTCAGATGAAATAGATACCACACTCAAAATAACAAAACCCTGAGATGTTCCAATTATTATGTGTATAATAAGAGACAAAGAAACACAATACAATGCCTATGACCCGTTCAAAGTTCAATTATTGAACCGTTTTCACGTACAACACCCCCCCTCCCCCTGGAAGTTCCGGTCCTTAAAAAAGTGGGATTTGGAAACCAGTAACATGTACGGAACATTAGCTAAAAAAATATGCCAAGTTTAAAGTCTTGAGATTGCAATGTGGGAGGGGAAAAACAGAAGAAAAAGAACCGCCGTATGTTATGACGTCAACGTACAAAACAATTTTCTTACAATATTTAGCAAAATAAATCAATAAAAAAATAGTACTGATATCCATGTCGAAAAACCCCCCAATATTTCATAAACACGTACCTTAAGAAGTACGTTATCTAATTTTGATTTGCAGCTCGCATACACCCTGGCATATGAATACACCTTGTCTTTATTTTGCACTGTTATTGTAGTGGGAATCTCTGTTGTGTTGAAGTAACCCAGTAAGGGTGAAGAGAAACGGGGACTTGGGCTGAAGAATGCTGTTGTAGATGTAGATGTGTGTACTAGATATCTACCCCAAACTCAACCAGATAAGTTCTTTTCGATCATAAAAGGTATGCTGTTGAAATTATAAGCGTCTGTCTGTGTCAAATGTGAATCATGTGTCACGCGACTTTGATTGGAAGTCAGAAAAATCAGAAAGTCCAACGCCAAATCGAAAAGAATCAAAACTGTAAATTGGCCCCTTTAAAATGTGGCCACCTCTATTCTCTCCGGGAATAGTGCAGGCGAGTCTTTTGGCTATTCTCACCCGGTGCGCGTTCACTGTTATAGCCTAGATCTAGAATCTAGGCCAACCAACATTAACAATTCTACACTGTGATAACAGAAAAATTGTAGAATTCTGTGCCGTGAACAAACGTTCCATTACTACTGTTAGTCTACTAAAAGCGTACAATTTTGTCTGTGGGCAGTGGAGAGGGAGAGAGAGAGAGAGGAGTAGCGCGAGAACTTCCGGGCAAAACAAAATGGCGACCCGCGTAGTTCGGCTCGATTCGAAAAGTTAAATAGCCGTAGCATCTTTGGAGACGACCAAATTAATTTACTTTTGTGTTTTAACATCATTTTTTAACTTTGTTTTGGTCAATTTGATCGTCCACCCCGATAGACAGTATTCAGAAAGAGATAGAGAAAGAGAAGAGGGGAGGAGTAGATCTTGCGAAAACTTCCGGGCAAAACAAAATGGCGACCCACGTAGTTCGGCTTGATTCGAAAAGTGAAATAGCCGCCATAGCATCTTTGTAGTCGGTAAAATTAGCTTACTTTTGTGCTATAAAACATAAACAATCTTTTCTTTGCCTTTATCCATTTGATTATCCACATCGATAGAAAGTATTCCGAAATTAGGAAAAACAGGTCTTGTTTCACATCGGGTGAGAATAGTCTGAATAGCCTACGGTGGCAAGTCTCACTCGGGGTGAGAGGTCGATCGTATTTCTATTCTCACCCAGGGTGAGAATAGCCACTTCCTTAAAATGTCATCATTGTGTGCAGGCCTAAAATCTTAAATAAATCAGATCCTTGTCGTTCTCAAATAACAAGATGGTTGCAATATTAAAACGAAGTGTATACTGACCCGGTAACTGGGAACAAAATCACGAAGTATACAGACCCGGTAGGAGAACTCTTTTGTGATTTCGGAAAGTTTCATCGCCCAGACCCGGTAGTGTGTGTGTGTGTGTGTGTGTGTGAGAGAGAGAGAGAGAGAGCAGGGGAAAGTGCTTGCAAAATGTATGACATACCCCAGTTGGCAGGAGGGAATGAGTGAATGAGTGAATGATAAAGTGGGAAATAGGTGGGGAGAAAGAAAGACAGAGACAATCAAAGAAAAAGAGAATGCGAGAGAGAGAGAGAGAGAGAGAGGGGATGACTGTTCGAGAGAAATTATGACATTGTTCTTTTCTTCAAATTGTGATTCCTCCAACTCCAATACGGAGGAACAACGATCGTTCATCAAAAAGACATCCGCAATCTTCATTTAGATCTAGATCTAGGCTAGCCTCGAAACTAGATCAATGATTTATGTCTGTCTGTCTAGATCTAGATCTAGCCTAGGCCATTATAGAAGAACCTAGGTCTACCCTGAGCCAAGAGGGCGCTGAAACTTTCAGAAATCACAAAAGAGTTCCCCCACCGGGTCTGTATACTTTGTGACTTTGTTACCGGTTACCGGGTCTGTATACACGTTCGGGAATATAACGAAGTGATTATTCGGACTCGAGTCCGAATATGAAAAAATGTTATTTGGACTCTGATTCTTGTCCAGCATGACATCACTTCCAACTTCCTGTGACTCGTGACTCCGGCTTCCTGTCCTGCCTCACTCGTGACTCGCCTCAGGCTGGGTAGAGACCGGGATCACTTCGGGCAAAAAGGTATTTTGTGCAGGAGCCGAGTTTTAATCTTACGATGAATTTGAGGCCGGCCTGAAAAGTTATAGCGCTTCTAATAAATGTTTATTTGTCAAGAGGTCATCAGAAGCAATTAAAGATGGCTCGTTAGCGTGTGTCGGGGTCAGATGGGCGGCCTGCACACGTGTGGCAGTGTGCGTGTCGGGGAGGGGGGTGGGGGGCACTATCGGTCCGGGCGTTGAACGTCGCATACGCGTCAGTCCCCCCCCCCCCCGGCAACTGATCATTATTACAATAATAAGCTAGTCTTGACGTAGATCTACGTAATGAATTGTGCGCTGGTCTATGGAATCAAAAGTTTCCGTATGCTCAGCTCTACACAGCAACACAACTTTTTCTGGATAAACAGCTCATAATATGCAGGTGCCAGGTGGTCTGCTAATCTTCAATTTCACCTTTTTCTACAACAAAGAAAGTGGGAAACATGGGGGGGTGGGGGAGGCGTATCAATGAGGCGGCGGGCATCGGATCGGCAGAAAAGGTGTGTGTGGGGGGGGGGGGGGACTAAAAAATGGCGGAAAATTGGAAGTACTGAACGTTAGAACTATAGAACGAAGACACTTCCTTTTTTCCGGACCCGAGTCCGAATAACATTTTTTCATATTTGGACTCGAGTCCGAATAAGAATTTTTTTTATTCGGACTCGAGTCCGAATAATGACGGCCGGAAAATAAAGCTAGGCACTTTGTTCTCCGAACGTTTGGGAAAATAAAGCTAGGCACTAGATCTAGATTCTATTTATCCGAACGTTCGGGAAAATAAAGCTGGGCACTATTTCTCCGAACACTCTGAAATCACATCCTTTCCACAAATTTCGGATATTATATATAGATTTCTAGATCTATAATTATAGTATAGGCCTACCAAGGCAAAGATTGCTCGTATACAATATGGTACAATCGGTCCAAAAAATGTCCGCAGTAAATATTTTTATTTAAAGAAATGCTACAGTTCCAAACAGTTTTTCGCTACAGATATGACGTGTTGCCTATGAAGGGTGCTGCTCTTAAACTTAGTGTGTTGTGTTCACTCGTGTGCTATCTAGATCTAGATCTACGAAGGGTTATTGATAACGACACATAGAACTAGCATAGATATCTGCGTTTGTCGCGGCCGCGACCAATCAATCGTGGCTCGATTTTTGGCATTTTTTTGGTCCCCAAATCGGAGAATAAAAGTCAAATTTAAAAAAAAAATTTTTAAAGAAAGAAACCGAACCTCTTTACTTTTGAAAGAAAGTTCACCTTGCTTCACTTCGTCTCTTTCTCACTTGTTGTCATCACGTTGATTGAATACGTTACAGTTACTTTTATTTTTCCCTCATTGTGATGTTTTATTGTTAGTGTGTATTTTTGTCTTTCTTGTTATTGTTCTGATGTGTTGTTTTTCTATCAATTTTTTTTAAAGGGGAAAAAGGGGGGGGGGGGGGGGGGTTGTATAGCGTAACTTCATTTAATTTGATGTTCCTACCTTCAATAGATTTTATATATATATATATATATATATATATATATATATATATATATATATATATAGATTTAAATGTGTTATGTTAGAGCATACGTTCCACCAAAACCGATCACTTGTACTGACCCTGGCAGGCCCCTTAATGTGTGCGATTCCATAATTTACTTGTAATATTATCGTACTTTAAAAAAAAATTAGTGTTAAAACAGCCAATCTTCTTCGGACAGGTGGACTCAGGCCCTTATTTGTTAATTTTTGTGGTTGTTTATGGGCTGTTCTAATTTTGATTTCATTCTGTTGTGAAACCTTTCTTTTTCACGTTTTTACACTCATCTAAAAATCTCTAGACTAGCCAGACTAGCTCTTGAAAATTGAAATAGATATAGACCTAAAAATTTAATCCTGTGTGTGTGTGTATCTGTGAGTGTGTCTGTGTGTGGTAGTACTGGTAGTAAGTGTGTAAGTGGAGAGTGAAGAGCGTGCGTGTGTTTGTTTTTCGGGCTTTATTTCAGCCTTTATTCAGTAACAACAGTTCAAAGTATACAAAAATAGAAACATAGGATCCATTCACTCCAGGGCTCATGAGTCGTTCCTCTCTTTCATTTTCAAACATTCATTCAATTCCCGTGTTCTCTCCCGCGGCTCATCCCCGTCCACATGACTTTCACACCCCACCCCCTCCCTCCAGGCACACACAAAGAAAATCTCACTCATTCCCTTGCACTCTGCGAACCATGGACAATAATATAGGCAAAACACTGCCTTAGCCGGACTCCTTTCGTTCGTGAGCTGCTGCTGTGGACCAGGCCGGGGGGGGGGTCGGTTGTGTCGTCGTCTTGTAGTTGCTGTCGCCTGTGGATACACTCGTACATTCTTCCTTTCACCTTCTCTTTCACTCACACTGTCTCTCCATCCACAGCTCAGCTCGTCATACGTTCAAAAGTTGCCCACTGATCATGTTTAGTTAGTGTGTGTATAAGTTTGTGTGTGTACATGTGCATGATGGTGGTGGGTGTGTGGTGGGTGTTACTGAAGGTTGTCTGTAAGCGGGCTTGCCATGCGGTGTTCCTTCCCAGACCAGAGGCAGAATGAAAGTTGGCGCCGAACTCTCGCAATAAATAGGCAAAAAATCACGAGACTGGAAGCCGGAAACGGTTCGGAGAAATAAAGATCGGCACTATTTCTCCGAACGTTCGGAGAAATAGTCACTTCGTATTTAGAAAGGGGTGAGAATAGAAATACGATCGACCTCTCACCCCGGCCGGGTGAGACTTGCCACCGTAGGCTAGGCTATTCTCACCCGGTGTGAAACAAGACCTGTTTTTCCTAATTTCGGAATACTTTCTATCGATGTGGATGATCAAATGGATAAAGGCAAAGAAAATATTACGTTATAATAGATCTAGCACAAAAGTAAGCTAATTGGATCATCTACAAAGATGCTATATATGGCTATTTCGCTTTTCGAATCGAGCCAAACTACGGGGGTCGCCATTTTGTTTTGCCCAAAAGTTCTCGCAAGATCTACTCCTCCCCTCTTCTCTCTCTCTTGTCTCTTTCTGAATACTGTCTATCGGTGTGGACGATCAAATTGACCAAAACAAAGTAAAAAAAAATTATGTTAAAACACAAAAGTAAATTAATTTGGTCGTCTACAAAGATGCTACGGCTATTTA